TATTTACCTCTGTGTTCTACAGGACATGCTATTTCCATGCCCTTTCACTAGATAGATATATGTGTCATATGCCCTATTGAACTCAAACGGTTAAACTAGTAAAGTTACCTATCTCAGCACATGAAAAGAAAGAATTAGCCACAGTTCCCTAGCTACTAGTGTAGCTTTCAACGCCTTTTCTATGGTGTCTAGTATTGATAGGATATATAACTGTGAAAGGACAAGAAAATGCACTGAAGTCATCTAAGAAGTAAACTATCATCTTGACATGTTTTTTCTAGCTATTGAAAACCTTTCCATATTGCAGCTCATTCTGACAGTGAAACTGTAGAATACCTCTGATTTAAGTACCATCTGGTTGTGCTCAAAGCTTTAAAGCTATTATCTCAGCATAAAATTTCAGCGTCCTATACTTTTTTCTTCACCAAACTATCCATTTTTAAGCCACAAATATTTTTCCAGTCCTTTCAGATTTTATCTAAAAGTATATTTTAACAGTATTTAAATAGTTCTTAAACAATAACAATTTATCTTGATAGATGACATGCTGTGTTTTTTCATTTTATTTTAATTAGCCATTGTGGAACCAAATTCCCTTTTGTTTTATTCCTTTGAATACTGTTTAATTATAGTTATCATGCCAAATATCTTAAAGGTTATTTTACCAATACAGTTTCATTTAACATAGGCCATGTGGAATCAATAGTCCTGTTTCCTAAAGTGAATGCTTGGAAAATCTTACATTCATATGTTAAGAGTACACATCCTTTCCTCATTAGTTGGAAAGTACAGGGATTTTGGCACAGGTTCTGTGTGGAAGCATTGTGCAGCTTTTATATGGATTTTGTTTTTAGCCTTTGATGACACTGTTTAGAATAGGAAGTATCTAATAAGTAAAGCATTTTGTCTAATGTGCTGCCAGTGCGTTTAATATATGCCTGGAGGTCTGAAACATTATCTTCTCCACTGCAGTAATATGCATTTAATTCTCTGAAAGGAGAAGGTCGAACTTTTAAAAGGGACTCAAAGTACATTTTCAACTAAAATAATTTAAAACACATTGAATAGGGGACCAGAGTAACTTACGGTTGGTTTTTATGGTTTAATCATGATCATGTTAATGCACACCAGTAGCTAATTAAAGAAAACTTTTATTGTTCATTTTAAATGGGTTATGTAAAGACTAAGAGAACTGATACAATACAGCCCAATGATAAATGTTACCATTACATTTGCTAACAGCAAGCTGATATTGCTGTTCTTGACGTTTTTAAGTATTGGCCCATTTATTCCATAATAAAGCAAAGAATCTTTTTAGGTTATACTCAGAGTGTAACCTGTAGAGGAATACCTAAATGATTCCCAAATTTATTACTATGTGTGTTTTCAGGTAAACTGTGATATTTGGTTGGAAGGCTTGATGCTTACAGAGCTGAAATTGATGCAAGAAGATATAGTGGTACTTCTGCACCTTTATTTTGTACCAAGTTGTGTTATATAAAGCTGTCTTGCAAATCATTACTCACTTGTTCCAACTTTTATAATATATGTGGTAAGAACATATATAAGTCAAAGTTTCATTGTGGAACCAGGTGGCATGGAAATCCGAAATAGGATATGGTGTCTTTCACCTTTCAGGCACTGGTTCGTATTCCATACTGCTTAGTAGTGAGAAAAAGTTACTGCTGTTCAGTGACCTGCATGAATTGATTTGGGGTCTCAGTAAAGTTTCTGTAGTCAAATGTCCGCACAACAGGAAACTCGGCAGTTGGGACCAATTAGCACCTTTGCAGTAATTTTTGCGAAAAAACTATAGTCTGAATGGGGATGGAAGCAGAGCTACTTTCTTACCTTCTTTGAGGTGCTTTACATAGACCAGCACATTTAATGAATACCTGATTATAAAAAGAGGCAGAAGAAAAGAGCTAGGCTTCAAGTCAAATCTATTTAAGTATGAGGAAAGAGGACCCATTCAGAAACCAAAAGTCCTGTGGTTTCTCCCCTCTAGCCAGTCATACACATGCAATGGTTTTCTTCCTTGGAGATTGTCATTTAGTGGATGACATTTTATTTTCAATCCCTCTAGCCAAGACAAGCATAACCTAAATGTCAGGTGGCTGTAGAAATTTCTGCTGCATAGAGAACAAGAGAATAACATGTAGTACCCACAAGAGGGTCATTCACTGCAGAACCATACTTTCTAAGAAGATTTTACATCAGACTGAACTGATGCCTATGGAGCAATTAAAAACTGCTGGGTTTAGCAGCATATGCCCTCTACTTCATTTCAGGCAGCATTTCCATGAAATCATAGAGCAGATTGTTTCACAGCTCCATCCTTTCTGCCTTCCGCGTGCCCTCAATTCATCAGTGATATAAAACCATCTATACCATTTTTGAAAGTTCCATCAGTGCAGGATATGGGCAAAGCACTTCATAGTTTACCAGAGAGGGTGAGGTGTAAGTAGCCTAACTTTGCTAAGGAATCAGGAGGAATCAGGATTTCTTGGCTCACAGTATAGTAATTCATTAAAATGGTCTCTAGTTATTTTTACAGAGGCTGCATTAAAAGTGGTATCACATTTACAAGTCAGTGATATGAGTCTGCCATAGAAATCAGCCGCAAGGAATTTTATTAGTTATTTGAAAAATATGTACAAGAGTGAATCTGAAAAGATTGTAACCAGAGCTGGCAAAAACCTTCTCAAAGAAAATCTCAGCTAGTTAATGGTTCTGTTTAAGGATTTCCTCTGTAATACTTTTTTTCTAGTATGTTCATTCATTTAAAGAAAAGGAGAGAGGGTTGCTTTCATTGTTTCATAAAATACAATATAAAGGAACCTTTAAAAAATTGCTTTTCTTTAGCTCTCCCACAACCCAGTTTCTGCAGTATACATGGAATCTATTAATATTGCTGCAAAAAGACCAAAGTTTGAAGAAATTCACTAATTCAGTGCCCTTCATTTCTGTAGTTAAGTTGCTGATAAATTACATAAGTACTTGTAATTCATTATGATATTTTTCAAGAGGATGTTAAGGTATGGTTTTCCCTAGTTTCTGTCTGCCTTTTGAAAGATTCAGTGGGATGGAGAAGGTAGAAAGAAGCTAATGAAGTAGGTCTTGGAACAAAGAAATGAAATCATTGACTTAATGTGCAGTGGCAGCCAAAGAAAACCAACAAAGTATTAGACATCAGGATGGAGACTGAGAAGAAGACAGAAGGCATCATTTTACTGCTGTATAAAACCATAGTGATCCCTCTGCTTTGAGTACTGTGTAGAGTACTAATGGAGTTACAGAAGTAGAGAAGGGAATCTAAAATTATTAAAGGTAGAAGAGAGGCTGAAAAGGCTGGGATTTCTCTTTCTGGAGAGGAGAAGGCTGAGGCAAGCTATGATAAAGGTTTACAAAGTCATAGTAACAATGATAAAGCTGAATGTGGACCTGAATATTCAAATCATGTACTCCAAAAATCAGGGAAATGCTATGACACTAGTAGGAGATTGTTTTAAGGCAACAGAAAAAAAAAGGAAAAAAAAAAAGAAAGAAAAATGAAACTTGCAGAAGTTTGAGAAGCCCAGACACTGTCAACATGTTGAAAAAGTAGATGAATTCATGGACGAGAAGTCCAGAAATAGTTACTAAAACAACTACACAGGCGTGTACCATTGGCATCCTAAATGCAACAGCTGTGGATGCCTGGGGAGCAGGAGAGGAACAGATTGCAGGAAGTGGCCAGGGTCCATGGTCTCTCTCGTCAATCTCCTGCTAGTGCTGTTAGAATTGGTGTACTGGGCTGGATGGGTCATGAATCCAAGTTGGGCATTTCTTCTGTTAACTCTTCTATGGAGCAGAGCAGAAACACTTCTGGGCAGCCCAGATAGAAGTGTTAGTTGTGCTGTGGAAGCTATACAGGGTGAATGCATTACTCTAAACTCCATGTGACTCTGGGGACTTAGGTACACAATTTTTTTATTATTATCATTATTGAATTTCTACAGAGAGGTCCAAACATTTTAGCATATGCTTCCCATCTTGTCCCCAAGCTCTTTGTAGGATTTCTACTTGCTTCACAAGCAGTACTGAAAGTGTTTTATTTCTGAAGCACTTTCTTATCTTAGCTATCTCTGTTTCCTGACCTTGTGCTATTAGTCCCTGGACGCAGATTTGCAACTTTTTGCTTCACTCTTATATTTTCTGTGATAGAAGTAACTTTCTTTTTCCTGTTTATCAGTGGTGTTTTTTCCTTTTGAAATATTTCAATATGCAATGATTTCTCATGTGAAACCCCGTGAATGTCACAGCCAAGACCATATGTAGCCTTGGTGATCCTTGGTAAACTAAGAGCTCTTACCCCATCACAGAGCCAATCTTTAGATAATGGTGATGTTTCCTTTAACTTTGGTGTTTTATCTAAGGCAGCTGTCATTTCCAGTTCTCTTAAGAAGAATATTTTTTCTACAATATAATATTTATACATTTAAGCTTACAATTTCCTAACAGCTTTCTGTGATTTTTGCAGTAGATTAGAATTACATCTGTTTCATCTAATCATGGTAAAATATTTTCGCGCCAAAGAGGACTTTTTGACCATCAGTGCTCAAAACTGAAAAACAATTCTGACTAGGCTTTCTACTTACAATGCATTATTTCACAAAGATATGGGTTAGTATGAATCCATACATTTTTTGTAGTGTCTTTAAAGAAAGATTTTAAATTGAAGAAGAAGAAAGAGTCATTTAAGCCTAGAAATCATTACCCCTTTTTTTTTTCCCCTTCATGTTTTTTGGCACTTCGTCCGTTGTGAGTCATCATTTCATTGGAACAGACACCTGCTGTGTTTTCATGAGTGATTACTGTGTTAAAGTTAACTTGGCAGATATTTTTTTTTATAATTCTGTCTTTTGACATCATGCTTATATAGTGATTGTTTGCTGCCACTGAAATGGAAATAATTGGGATATGGGTATCCTGAGTTAATATAATATTTTCCTTTGCAGGTTTCCAAACAAGAGCAGAAAAAAATGGATGTGTCTGATGGAGGAACAGTTGAGACCTTATCCCGTTATAGCGGGGCACAGGACAGTGGGATTGGCAGTGACAGTGTTAAGATCAGAATCATTCAGATCGAGCAGCAGAGTGGTACCAGCCAGCACCGCATTGCCCGTCCTTCCCACCAGTCTTCCATCGTGAAGAACCTCAATTTCATTCCTTTTGACATTTTTGTTACAGCAAGTCGAATCTCTTTGATGACTTACTCATGCATTGCCTTACCTAAATCAAAGTCAGTACAAGATCAGAAAGATGGAGAGAAAATAAGCAAAAGCTCCTTGAACCTTCCAAAAGCGGGCTCGGGTGGCAACCATGATACCAAGAAGTCCAGTCAGCCATCTATTTCCTCCATCACAGCAGACGATCTTTTGAACAGTAATGTTCCCCTGTCTGCTGGGAGAAAGAGAGGTCTTTTGTCACTGGAAAGTCTGCATGCTTCTACAAGATCGTCTGCTCGACAAGCCCTGGGTATAACTATTGTTCGGCAGCCTGGTCGGAGAGGAGCTGGGGACATAGAGCTACAGCCATTTCTCTACCTCATCATTTCACAGCCCTCTGTGCTACTGAGCTGCCACCACAGAAAGCAAAAGGTAGAAATATCAGTGTTCGATGCTGGTCTTAAAGGAGTAGCCTCAGACTACAAGTCCACAGGTAAGAGCATTTAACTTTCACTCCTGGTTGCAACTACCAAAATAACTGCACATCTCAAAGCTAACTAGAGTGGTAGGAAACAGCAGGGAGACTTTTAACATGTCTTTGAAAATCATTCAGTAAATATACATATTTTTAAGATTATACCCCACAGCCGAATCAAGTGTGTGAAATGTTTGAAATTAATTAAGATCTAACCTTTTAGCAACCAGTTCTTCCTGTTCCTCAATATTACTTTCTCATTACCAGATTACGACAGGGATTATTGCATTACTCTAACTTCTCAGTGTTTTGTAAGGAAGAGTTGTAATCCAAGGTGATTTCATAAAAGCCATTTTTTAATGACTGAAGGTCACAATATTTTCCTATACTAACCTACTGATAGAATTTAAAGATAAACATTGTAGAAGCACCTGGTGTTTTGATCATAAACTGTAAGAAAATTATAGTGATCTTCCAAATGGTATCTCATGATGTCATATATTTTTAAGTTTTCATTCAGCTGAGTAATAGTGTTTTGCAAGAATTTCGTTCTCTTAATGAATGCACGTATGTGCAAAGCTTATAATAAGAAATATCTGAATAACTGTTCATAAGAAAATATTCTGAAATTTTCTTTTTCTGTCTTACCTGTACTGCAGAAGAGAGAAATCAAATTATTGCAGTTCATCTATCTGATAGCCAATATTGGGTATAAGAATTAGATGAGGTACATCATTAGAGTGTGTTAGCCCCCAAAAGTGTAAATGAGGATACAGAGATATGCTGAACACACAGCCAGAAAGTTATGGGGGGTTTGAATGAGACCTGTAGGTAAAAACCACTGCTAGTTTTCCCTTGCCAGAGTTCATAACGCTAGTTGTGAAAAGTGATATGCATTTTTGTGCAGCTATACCGAATCTTTGAGAATATTTTTTTTTTTAACTGGCATTAAAGTAATGTCCTTCTGCAAAAGACTAAAGTGCTGGTTTTAATAGATCTTATCTTTGGTTAGAAATCCAAATTACAGTGTACCTTTTAAGAGGGATTAAACAGTGAGGAAGATTAGACAGCCAGAGAGAAGATACTTAAAATAGGGCGAAGATTCATTCTCTGATGCACTTTATTTTATCATTCTTGCATTTTTGTTTTTGCTATTGCCATCCTGTCTTAAAAGAAGCACAGCTGTCATGAATTTGATTTACTCCAGATTCTCATGTATATTTGTTAAATACCATATAGAAGGTGGACATTGTAACAGTTAAAAGAATTAACAAAGCAAAACTTGAAGGCAAATTGGGAGTAGTTGTAAATTAAAGATCTCAACTTCATTAACTTGGTGTTTTGGAAAGATGCTATTGGACTTCCCATGTCTGAGGCATTGAAGTGTGTTCTTGTACTAGCTGCCACTATATTACCAATGCACTAGGCAAAGTTCTCTCCATTCTGCTCTTACAAGGAAATCTTCCACCATCACATTTTTGGGAACAATTCTAGAAAACACAGGCTGAAATAAAGTCTTCCTACAAATCGCAAGTGGATCATAGAGCGCATAAGCATGGCAGAAGTTTAAATTATAAAGATAGTAGTAACATTCAGCCAGAGAGCTCCTTCATCACCGGCAGTTGTTCAAGTGAAACCCAGAGGAGTCATCTTGCAGGACTAAAAATCAGCTGTACATGGGGTTTGCCCTTTTTTTTTGGCTTTTGTCTCCCTGTCAGGCAAGGGTGAAAGAGTATGGAGGCAGGTGTCAGACATTACGTGAAGGCAGAAGTTCTGGTCTCAGCCTTTGTGAGAGGTAGTAATTACCTTGTTCATGTATCAGACAGAACTCTGTGCTTGCTACTGAAGCTTGCTCTTTTCAGAAGAGCTTGAGAGGTGGGTACCAAAGTATTAGTGCCTAAAAACACTATGCTAAATGCATTAATAAGTTAATAAAACTAATCCATGCTTCAAGTCACATGCCAATTGATACAGCAAAGTAGGAGTGTAAAAGTCTTTATTGCCTCTTGTTTAGGAAGATGTGCTGTGCCCGTAATTGCATTGTTTGGGATTAATGTCATACCACTGTAGAAGCATCTTAGTTTTGTAAATTTCTAATTTTCATTTCTAGCACACCTATTTGAGGGAAAATAGTCATGAACTATGTGTTTTATATATATGTATACATACATATAACATATATGTATATAACATAGAATCATAGAATCATAGCATAGTTAGGGTTGGAAAGGACCTTAAGATCATCTAGTTCCAACCCCCCTGCCATGGGCAGGCACACCTCACACTAAACCATGTCACCCAAGGCTCTGTCCAACCTGGCCTTGAACACCACCGGGCATGGAGCATTCACAGCTTCCCTGGGCAACCCATTCCAGTGCCTCACCACCCTTGCAGGAAAGAACTTCCTCCTTATATCCAATCTAAACTTCCCCTGTTTACGTTTGAGCCCGTTACCCCTTGTCCTATCATTACATACATATACACATTCTATATATTGTATACCTTATAATACAGCATCAGAAGCTCAGATGGCATTTTCTGCGTTGCTGCAGTTGATTTCATCAATCACACCAATTTGTCTTGATGTTATGACTATTTGCTGAAAGTTTTATCTGAGAGAGATGTGTCATCCAAATCCAGAACACTATAAAGTTTATTTGAAAGAAATAAGCTTTTCTGCCTTTGTATACTACATTCTTGTATTTCTCTATATATCAAAGTCTGGAGGGTGGGAAGGGGGCATAAATGACAGTTAATTTCCAGCAAATATTGCTAAAGAGTATTTCCCGTTAAACTCTCAGAAGACTGCTTTTCTTCTGTCTGTATGTATGCATGCAGCTGTCTCTGTAGTCCTGAAGTAGGGTGGGAAAGAGGACACAAGGTAAACATAAAAGGTGTATTAAAACTGCATTATAGAAAGTGATAGAGTGTATTCCTCCTGGGGAAAAAAAACAAACCCAAACAACAACAACAACAAAAAACTCCACCCCAAAACCAAAAAGCAAACAACAGACATTTAAACAGTGGGACTAGGTAAGCAGGCCTGTTGAGAACATTGTGTGCATTACATCACATGATGGAGTTAAGCACCAGCACAGCAACAGTGCAGAAGATCGAGCACATGAGGAGATTGCGAATTTCATAATAACCTAGAAAGATTGAGATTTCTTTGGGCAAAAGGATAAAATACATGATGTTTGTTATAAAGTTTTATTGGTACTCCTGTGGGGGTGGTTTCTCATTACTTATACTAATATGGTTAAGCTATATATGAAATATGTAATTACATCCAAAACATACTAATAAAAGCTCTACCATTTCAAATCATCATTCTGTGTGTGCGTGTGTATGTATATATATATATATATATATACACACACCATATACACTGCATACAAATATTTTAGGAATGTTTTAAAGCATTTAAATTTTTTTTCAGTCAGTTCTGTTGTGTAATTCTGAAGACTTGACTGCTGTTAGTTTAACAGCAGTAGATTCAGGTCTTATGAAATATGTGCTATAATTTCTTCAAGTTTTTCTAAAAGACTGAAAACCCAGTTTTGAAACAACTCTCAAATCTTGCAAGGCAGAAGCAAATACAGAATTCTATTGTGAAATTAGGAGGGTCTTATTTTTTGATGCAAAAAGAAAATCTCTAGGGTAAAAAAAAAAATGTTGGTAATAGTCTGAATCTAGTTGTTTTCCATCCCTTACCTCCCCTTAACGTATTTCTAAGAAATATATTGATCAGCTGTAAATAAACGAAGAATAGAATTCAGAAATGGGCCTAACTGGTAGTGTGAGGAGAGTCTGTTCTATGAAGGTTTTAATAAATTAAATAATAATAAATATACAGTATAATAAATTATACTGTAAGACTGCACCAGCAAGAAATTCAAGGTGATAAATTCTTAATCCTGGGCTGATGACAAAAGTAAACTTACTTTAGAATGGTTTACTCTTTGAACATATATATAGGAATGAAGTTTTTAATACTTTTACAAAGCCACATATATTTTATTTGGATCATAGAATCATAGAATGGTTTGGGTTGAAAAGGATCTTAAGATCATCTAGTTCCAGCCCCCCTGTCATGGGCAGGGACGCCTCACACTGGACCATGTCACACAAGGCTCTGTGCAGCCTGACCTTGTACACTGCCAGGTTTGTTCTTATTTTTGAAAGAATTCATAGTAGTAGAGCTTAAAATTCAGGATCTTGCACATTAAGCTGTCACTGGTTTTGTGAGTATAGCACAGGGGCCAAAACACGAAACTACATTCAAAGATGTTATCCCCTCCGTCACTAGCTGTGTTATTTTACTCTCTGAAGCATGCAAGAAATGAAAAGAATAAAATAAGAGGAAATAAGCTATTTAAAAGTATTGTTAGTGTGTTAATTAGCAGTAGCAGCTCATTTCCATCGGCCAGTGTCTGTATGTGGGAGAATTTGTCTGCCTTGGAGCTAAAGGCTTGAAAGTTGTGCTTTCAATTTCCTCAGATCTTCTCTCCAACCAAGTCCACTTGCAAGTTGGGAGGAGGAGGAGACTTTTTAGGTTATTAAAATGTTAGCTCAAGTTTATTATGGTTGTGCTGAACTGCTTCAATTGTGGTTTTAAATTATTTTTGTAATTGCACAGCTAGATTGCAATTATGCTACTGCCAGCTATAGGAACTTCAAATCAGAGTAAATAAATTAATGCAATAAATATTAACTGCTTAATAAGCACTATTAAGAAGGCTCGTTGCTCCCTGAGTTTACTTGTAAGATTCTGTATATATAGCCTGCAAGATACTATAAACCAACCTTTTTTTTTTACTCAGTGCTCATCCTATATTTAACAAAAAGGCATCTGCTAACTGTTAGTTTTTGCAAACAGAGCATTGGTCATTTCCACTTAAATAAAAGTGGGTGCAATTGTTTTTAATGTAATCTCATAAGCTGCTTTTATAAATATTGTTTTAAATCTTTATTTGCTTTGTTTCAGGTAATGTAATCCAGATACAAAATTGCCTCATTTCCTGACCATTGTGCTCTGGGCATTCTTGAAAAATCTTTTTTCTATTTGTTTGTTTGTTTACTTTCAAAGAGGACATTGTGGTGCTTGGTTGTTTTAAGGGAGAGAAATTTCTCAGTAAATAACTGCTATGCATGGAATTTCTTCAACATCCGCCAGTGAAGCGTTTGCAAAAAGCAAGCATTGTGAGGCCGTCCAGAATTAATTTTGTTTTTTATTTTATTTTATTTTACTTTACACCCACGCCTTTGATGGCAGGAGGTCCATGAAGAGCAGATGCAGTAGCTAAGACCACATGTAACCTCTGATCTAATGGAAAGCCCAGGCTGCGTGGAGAGCAATTCAGGCTGGCTCTGGCAGGAAGTCTGATTCAGTCAGTCTCTCAGTCAGCCTGTGCTTCCTACGAGGCAGAGAGAGGGTTTAAGGCTGTTTCCTAGCATAGCATTGAGGGAGTTCTGCTGGAGTGTCACCTGTTCCCCTCCAAGTATATTTATTGTCCACTACATTTGTATCCATGGACATATAGGGGTACAGCCCCCTCCCGTAAAGACAGGCTGGCCTGGGAATGTGCATTCCTCAGGTTACTGTAAGAGCTCATTTTTGAACTTCCTGACACAGCACTTGTGAGTACACTCGTAGAAATGTTTTCCCACTTGTGTTCTTTACATTCCAGTGGAAACCATTTTTAAAACAAGACCAAACGTTCCACTTCGGAGTTTGAAATGCAGAGATGATTGCAGCATCATACTGGCTTTTAAAATTGATTGTAGACCAAAATATGATTCATCCATTGAAATAAAAGCATGTTGCAGAGCTCATTTGGTCTGAGTTAAGTTCCAGCTGAACAGTCCAAGTTGCCATTCCACGCACACACTCAGCAGCCCTGTCCTCTGCCAGACTGCAGGGATGCTGTGGATTGCTGAGCCCCCTCTATGAAAGCCTCCGAGGAGCTATTCCCCCTGAGCTGCCCTGGCTCTTAGCTACAAACTGGAACAAAACTGCATTCTGGAGAATGCAAAGCTTCAGGATGTGAAATTTATCCTGCCTCCCTTCTTTCCCTTCCTCTAACTAACTCTCCTTTTAATTCAGAGGTTTGTGTTTTGCTGTCTGATGTTAATATATGAATGATGGGATAGCAGCTGAAATCAAAATCTTGCAAATTCAAATCAAGTTTAGGAAGATACTTCATAAACTGTGAAGTTTGGAGCTGAGGTCTGGATGTTAGCAAGACTGAAAGGGTTTTGAATGTTTAGGTGGCTTCTAAAACAGCTTGACTTTTTTTCTAGGAAAGAAGAAAGAGGGCTGGAAATGTGGAGGTATTGAAGGCCTCAGCTTCTCAGGCTTACAGATTTTAAATTACAGTCTTGGTTGCAGTCTGTGATAGTTGTCTCACTATTTGCCTTTTGCTGCCACAGACAAATTTTTCACATGGTGCACAGGATAGAATTTCTGGCCGTCTTCACCACTCTTGACTTCTCAAGCCTTTCTTTTCTCTCTCTTGGCTTGCTGTGGAGTAATTCTAGCCTCTCCTTTTACTTATATATGCATCCCTTGGGTTTTCTCCAGCATTTTCTTTATACAAATAACTGCAAATTTAAGTGTTGATTTTTGGGAGAATCATAGAAAATGGAAATGGAAATGACCTATTATAATACATTATTCAGACCGGTTCCCTGCTGATGCATAATTGTTCCCCATTGTATATTTTATAGTGTTCTGTCAAGTGTATTTTTAAACATTCTGAATGTTTCCATCATTTCCTTGAGGAGAAGAGTCCTTTTCCTGACAGCTCTCCCCATCAGGAATTCCTCACTTTTCAGTCTGAATTTTCTCTTTTTCATTCAAATGCTTCTCTGGAGATTCCCTTGGCATAGGGATTGATTGATTGATTGTTACTGCTTTCTTCCTTTTCTGATCCTTAATCCTATGAAAATGCATAGCTGTTTTTTACTTTAGCAGTTGTTTTAATTAAGGTACACATATTTCAGTCCTTTGATGTAAAAGAATTTTTCTTATCCAGATATATTTTGTAAGTTCTGTTTGGAACTTGCCTCAAGCTTTTTACATATACACCGTCACAGTCAGGGTTGAAACCTCTGGATTTTAGCTTTCTTTTCATTATGTAAAAGCTTGCTTGTTGATCCATATCTGGCATATTTGGATGTACGGTCAAGTCTGTTAACCCAGGTACCAAATTAACCATATGCCATGGACTTAGAGGCACTCAAACTAGTTCTTTCCCTGGCCCTTTGGGAGTGTTACTTCTGAATACAAATCATATCAAGGCAACTATCCTGCTTCCAGAATTAGCTCACTTTCAGAATAAGAAGTTAAAAAAAAAAAAAAGAAAGAAATGCTTGAAATCAGAAAGGCCAGTGCTGGATTAAAAGTAATATATTTTGTTGGACTCAGTGCCCCAGGTAATGAGGTAATGGTGCTGCAGTCCTTGGAGACCTGACAGAGCAAAATAATCTCCTGAGAGCCCCATGGTTCCTTTAGGTTTTTTGATTCTCTGCTTATGTGCTGCCATTCTCAGTGCCCTGAGGGCAGTGTGTGTATAGCTAATGTATTATGTCATGCAAGGATTTTCTGCTATGTAAGTTCTTTTCATCAGAGATATTTTCATCTTGAAACAGCTTCAACTTTGAAATAACTATTAGGTATTTTATAACATAAGCACATCTTAGGATAATAGGAATACCTGTAAATGCATTCTTCAGAAGAAATGTTTGTATGTATCTACTGGATTTTCTGAAAAGCCAGTGGGTGATCTAGGTTGCTGTATACAGTTTGTGATTATATCTTTCAGGAATGAGACAAAATAATGCAATATTGCAATATTTTGCCCCATATTGGTATACATAAATGTTTATATTAGTACTTCTGAAGGAACAATAACGTAGAGATAATTTAATTGATTTAGTGATATTTATTGCACAATATTCAGTAATTTTTACAATGCTTTACACTATATAGTCTGAAAAACATTAGCATGTTATTTATGATGAGCTATCAGATATTATATATAGCTCTATATCCAAGTTAGAGATAACATCCTGTTCAGAACAACTACAAAACTATATTTTGGAAAAGATGTACACTTTGGTGGTAAAGATTTTTTATTACTATTAGTTTCAGTATACTAGACAAACCCCAGACACAGGAAACAAGATATTCCCTAAAGCATTTACTATAGAAAAGGGAGTGTGCCACACCATTCTGGTTAATGTAATTAAAGGAATGGGCTAAGAACCATAAAGATGTAGAAATTCACATGGAAGATATACAAATCTGCTGTATGCAGTGACAGCTCTTAAATAACCGTTAGGAGCTGACTTTATAAATGTATAGCAGGAATAAAGGGAAGGAAAGGCTGTAATGTATATGCCATGCAGTACAAATACTGCTGTAGTCATTGCCTGAAAATTGATCAAATAAAAACAGAAGAATGTGCTAACTTTTGATCTTTTCCATAGATCTAAAGTCATGATCAATTGGTTTCAGTAGGTTCTTTGAAATCGCATAAGGGTTCATATGTGCCAAGTTTTATATGAATCACATGATAATGTCAAGAAATACAAATTCCAAAGCTGACTTTGTATACCCAGTCCACATATGATTGTGATACTACAATACCATATGTTGACTATAATAGTGGATATGCAAATACTGTTATTGAAAGGAATCCACTCAAACAAAGCAATTACAGCAGGTTTTAATTAACTGTAAGTGGGAGGAGAGAATAGCCTCAAGAAAATCTCCTTAGTTAAGGATGAGGCAGACATTCAGTATTTAACATAGCAGCCTGAATAATATAGGATAATTCATTATTTAGAATTTAAGACCTGTAGTGCCAGAATTGAGAACTGTTATAATGAAGGTTATAAGTTGCTAAAGATGAAAAAGCCTTTTTATACTACTGTTTTTGCCATTTGCGTTATGTGAAAAATGAAGGCAAGAATAGCACTTGGAGGAAATTACTTATGTAGTATTATGTTGTCATATTACAGACTGATCAAAGGGATATAATTCAAGGTGGTATGCAAGAATAGCTACTGGCTAGCTATTGAGTGAAACTCCGAAGAGAATTATGTAACTGCATTGTCGTTATACTCTATTCCTGAGATCTGGTAGCATTTCGGTCTTTTAGCCTTTATAATTTATCTTTCCATTATTATTTTTTCTACCTGGCTGTGAAAACACAATCTAGAAGTAGCAGGTTTTGAGTATGATTTCTCTTTTAAGGACTGCTTAAGTATCATCATAATCAAAGCTAAAATTTTGTGCTATTTTAAGTCATCTTATGGTAACTGATGTCTTTTACTCATATTTTACTTGATATTTTTGTGGGTTTTCTACATTTTGTGTAATTACAGCTTTGCCCTTTTGCCTGTGTATGCATGCATTGTTATACACATGCATCTGTCTGTAGGCACAAATGCTATTTATAGCAGTCAAATTAGGAGTAGTATTTACTGTGATACATTTTAAACTTTTTAATTTTGTTTAATCAATTTGTATGTAGAAATTTGTTATGTATTATCTTCCTGGAATATCATTGGTGGCTTACAATCATTATCATCTGTAGATCCTGGGAAGACTCTACCGGAAGCTCTGGATTATTGCAAGATCTGGTTGCAAACAGTAGCAGGAGAGGCAGATGCTAAAAGTGGTATTCCTCCACCTCTTATCACTGTGCAAATCAAAGACTTCCTTAATGGACCAGGTAAACATTGCACTTTAACCTCCATTTTCTAATGTATTCTCTTTGTAGATATGCACATACAGACACACACACATCAGATCATCAGAAAAATTTACTCTTTGCTAATGAATGTGAATTTTTTTTCCAGCAATTGCGCTGAATTGAAGCCAAAGTTGGGGAATGGTCAGTCTTGGACCAGCCATAGGTTTAAGCTCTGATTATTTATTTTCTTCCCAGAGTGAAATTAGAAATTTTACTCCTCACAGAGGCTGAGGAATCTCCAAAGGAATGAAGCCTACCTGCTTCTAGCCCTGGGACAGCTGAAATTGTGTTACAGTTATGTTTATTGTAAAAGCCGACTTTTAAAATGTTTCTGAAGATTTTTATAAGCCGTGTTCTCTGGGGCTCTTTGGTACCTGGCATTGCAGATTCCTGTCATCTAAAGTGTTGGCACCGTGAAATTTTAAAAATATTGATACCGTGTTTCTTTCACATACAATATTATGTGGTGTAGTGTGAAGGTTTATTAGTATTTACTTAAAATAATGTGACTTATATTGAATAATACGGTTATATTGAATAATATATGGTTATATTGAAAGTTAGATAATTCATTTACGTTTACCTGTGCCACCATCATTCATTTCTCTTGTTATATGTTACGATTTGTAGAGTTCTGTATTTTCCCCTTTCTTACTTCACTCATTATGCAGTATGAATTGTTCTCAATCAGTCACTTAGTGAGCAGCTCTTCAGTACTGTGTTTTCGTTTTCATTCCATGACCTTTTCATACAGCACACTATCTAAACCCAGCTCTAGAGCAGCATTTCTTTTTTTCTCTATGTTGCTTACTACTTTAGGATCCAAGCACTACGGAAATACTAATTTATCTGCATAACCCTCCCATGGGTGGTAGAATAGTATGCCCTTGCCATTTCACAGAAGGCAACTGAGGCACAGGGAAATTAAAGGGTTTCTTGTTATATTAAGGTTACCAATTTAAAACACACAGTTTTAAAGATACTTAAAAATATAGAAATTTAGATGTTGGAAGTACAGTTCACGCTGTTCCTGGGTGCAGCAGTATCACTTCTGCATATCAGACCCCAGAACATCAAATTGAACAGTCATAGAATGAGACATACATACTTAACTGCTGACCATAAATACTGTGGTTAAGTAACCTGAAAATCCATTTCTTGCATGCAGGCAGGCAGGAACCTTGAGGAAAGAATAAAGTACATGAACAACCTCCTCATTGCCCCTTTTTTGTTTTTTCTGTGCTGTCTTAAATGCATCATTTAAGAGAAGATTTATAACCACCTAATAATGCAGAGCCTTTGTTACATTGATCCTTATGTGGCTTCATTAATAAGACTTTGAACCTTCAGACCTACAATCATTAGAACTGAAAAATTAATTAATAATAATAGTATATTTTCATTCTAGTCATAACCAGCACAAGAGAGGTAGAGACAGATACTGTCAGTGGCCTTTTGGACACTGCTGCTAGATTGGTTTTCTTTTATCCATCCTTTCCTTTTCCCCCCTCTCCCCCAATTCTTCTTTCCTCTCTCCCCATATCTGTCAGATTCCCATATTCCCAGATCCTTCTCCTGTGCATTCCCCTTTCCTCAAGATTCTCACTGTAATTTCTTGGCTCAGCCTGTATATTTCATTTATTACACGCTTGAAGGTGTTTCCCTGTTGCTCTCTTGTCAGTAAGACAGACTTCTAACTAAACCAGCAAACTTGGGAGTTGTACCAGCTTGCAAAGTATATTCACAAGATGCCTAAGTGTCTACCCCATTCTCAGCAATTCAGGCAGATCTCGAATCGGTGTTAAATCTCTCCCCTCCATGGTATTTGGCTAAATAGAGAACCGAAAACCCATAAATTAATGCATCATAAACTTCAGTCTACTTCTTCTCACAAAGCAGATATAACTTCAGAGATTTCCTTTAGGATCTCTTCTTAGCCAAAATTTTTTTTTTTTTTTTTTTTTTCTGCTGATTGGAACTATGATTACACAGGATTCAACAGTAATTAGCCTGAATTTTAATGAAGTGTTTTGCTGCTGTAATATAGCAAAACAGCTCTGCATTCCTTTGCAGATTTTTCTGAACTCAGCTGTTGCCACTCTGAGATCCTCGTCAAATAAACTAACCTTTACCAAGAAGCATTCCTTGGGGGCTGGAGATTTCACTGGATGAGTAATGATAGGCGCTTTCTGCATGTGATTGCGTCAGAACAGCACATGCAAAGAGTTATGAAAGCTTGACAGCTCCTCAGCAGGCTACTGGAAAACAAGTTACTAATACTCCTTGGGGGGAAGAAGTCCTCTAACCACAACTTCTTCCATGGTGAGGTAGCTTGGCCGTCAACAAGCCTGGAGAAAGTGTCCGCTTCGCCAGATCCTAACTAAGCTTGCTGTTGTTCATTGAGGACAAGAACCTCAGCAGAACTCCTGAGAGCTCTTCTAATGTCATCAGACAAACGATATTTGTGATGGGAGACATCACAGTTAATAAATTGAATAAATAAAGGCACTTCTGGATTATGCTTATGTTGCAGGACTGAAAGGTGTACTCTTTCTTGGTGAACATTTGGCAAATAACGGTGCTGCTAACTGCAAATTTTCTAAGGACATACTCCGTGTTTTCATAGTTGTTCATGCATGTGCGTTTTATAACTGCGGAAAGTAAATTATTAAAATGCAGTGGATGCACCAGTAGGTGCTACCTGTTGGGTAGAGCTGATCTCCTGTTCTGAGAAGTCAGTATATGTGATGACAGCTGTGCCTAGGCAGACAAAAATCTGGATGTAGCAGTTGGAATAACTATACAGTTTTCTGTATGTATTTTAAGAGTGCAAAGTTCAGGGGTTTAATTTTAATGTAATTTTTCTTACAAAATACATTGTCGCTATGCTGAGGTTAAATTCCAAATGCAGCAATCAATCATGACTATGTTTTATGATGCAAACTACCATGCAAGCTGTTGAAAGAAATGGGTTCCCAGTGTTTGCTGTGTTAGATAAAACCAGTACTCCTTGTAAATAGTTTGTTAGCTGAAGTAAATAAGTAGATAGTGTTCCATAGAAAAATAGCATGGTTTCACCACACAGGAAACCAGGTTGTTAGTCTGTATTAGCTCGGAGATCAAAAAATTACAGCAAGTAGCAAAACTTGGAAATCACTAATTAAATGAGAATAACAGGATACATTAATGCACTTCTTGCCACATGAGTTGATTATTTTGTACATTTTTGGCAACTAAAGAAAAATGATATTCCAGATTTAAGGTAATAGGATCCTAGGAGAAATAAGCATTCATCATCAAGCCTGTGGGAACAGACCTCAACTTTAACCCCACAGTGTATTAAAGGACTATTCTTTCTCTTTCTACAGTAACTAATTATTTAAAATTTTTTAAATTCCATCTACATGAGTTTACATTACCCTCTTTTATATTCAGTCTCTTACTGGATTGTACATCTAATTCTTGTTGAATACGTAAGTGAGCTATTTATTGCTTCAGCATTAGATGTTATTCATTAGGTGAAGAACAAATATGACCATCTTGTTTTAATAGGTTTTGAAAATTTATTCACTTTGCCCTCTAGTCCTTTCGTTGGATTTATTTTTTGAATCAACTGTGCTTCTTGGCTATAAAAGCTGTCTTTTTGATGCGTTCTTTGTGCATGCAAATGATACAGAACATGTTCATGTAAGTGCAGCTTCATACAAATTGTCTTAAAATACTTATCACGCGCAAAATATGGATGGTTTATGCCAAAGTCCTCTTCCCTCAGTAGTTTCTTGGGAAGACTGCACAGTGTGAAATAACTGCAGTCCTTGATACTTCACCTTTGGAAATAATTTCTACAGAAGAAACTATCCAGGCAAACTAAACAATGCCGTGCCCCACTGAAAGATAAAGTGAGAACTAGGGGGGCCCGGGGGATTGCTCTGTCTTGGCAGTCCCTCCGTGGCAGCATTTGGACGCCATGGGGGGCACAGCGCTGGATGTAGGGTTGTGCATAAAAAGCAGCAAACAGAACTGCACCATGGCACTCTCTCTCCAGCTTTTCTCCCCCCTTGTTTGCCGAGGCAACAATTGTATCCATTAGCAAGGTCAGTGGTTTGGAGAAACCTGGAAAATAGCAGCTACCAGAAACCCACTATAATAATATCTCCAGCAGGTGATAGATTAGTTGGAACAAATTGGAACCATTGCACTTCAGCAATCCTGGTTTCTTTCAAGCTGTTTTAAAAATGTCGTCATTTTAATACACAATATCTGCCCTGCGGAACAGTCCACAGCAGGTTAATTTGAATCATATGATGTATCACTGCCCTCAGCTGACATGAGCTCCATTCCATGTGTGAAGCCATAATAAATCCATTCCCAACCGAGGCAAATTCCCTGTGAGAAGGTGAACTAATCCAGGCCTCACACTGGCATGTTAGCCCTCCGTAATTGAAAGCAGGGCCACCTGTTCCCAGCACAGTTAGCCTATAGAGAGAAAATTAGCATTAGATCAGATACTTAATATATTGAAAAATTATTCATACTACTTGCAAGTTCAGCTGTGGGCTGCTTAGCATGACATCATATATAAATCTAGGAATGTGCCCACTTGATCCCAGTTTAACAGTTTTGTTAACCATGGTGTTTGTTAACTTTGAAATGAGAATTTTTTGATTTAATGAGAGCTGACACGTGAGAAGGGAACTGGCCAGGGTGCAGACTTTTCTAATTAACTCTGGGTCATTTGCAAAACTTTTGAGCTTTCTAGTAGGTTTTTCTTTTCCCTTTGCTCTTTTGCAAACAAGGTTTTAAAGCGCTGACACTGTAACCATGAAATGATATTTATTTGATTAAGAGGGCAAAGAGAAATATTCCAAACAGGTGTAGCAGCCTGTAGGTATTGCCTTGGTTTTGACACATCTGTTGTCTGTAGTATCAGTGTATTAATGTACCTTTCTAAAAGCAGTGTCTGCAACAGTTACTTATAT